CACAAGGACGGCCTTTAGGATGGATTTTGAAGGCCGGAAAGGGGTAAGAGGTAAATCCAGGTATGTGGAGGGAATTGAACAGCCAAGTTTCTTGTAGAAAAATCAGATCATATGAAGAGAGGTAGTTTAAGAGGTCTGGGTCCATATTCTTGTTAATCCAGCCAGCTATATTCCAGGATATTAGCTTTAGATATGTTCGTTGGTGAGCGGTGGGCAGGGTAGAGGTGATTAGTCAGTCTGAGCAGTCGGGGTTTAGAGAGTACACATATTCCTCCTGCCATTGTAGACAAAGAAGGGGGAAGAGGATCATCTTTTATATACAGTATAGGGTGTTTTGCAACAGTAGCAGCTCATCCAGAGAAATATGGGGGGGGGGCTCTGAGTTAGTTCCATCTCAAACATCCAGAAATCCATAAGGGCATGTCAGGATCAGGTAGCTCCTCCACCGACATCAAACCCTCAGGAATATTATAAGGTTTTAGTACTTGTTTTTTTTCAGAGCTTGGAATAGTTACTTTTTTCAGCTTAACCATGCTGATTGGGAGATTTTGCAAATTCTAATTTAAAAAAGAGTAAGTTTTCCAAGCTTTCTTTCTTTTACAATACAGCACTTTCAGAGTTTCTGCTCTCCATCATGCAGCAGCTAAAGGGACGGGGACCTCACTAAAACAAATACTGTGGCATTCAATTATTTACAGCAGAATACTGTAGGAAGTGCTGGATGGATAGCTCTGCAAGTAGACCATCTAATTGTGGAGCCAGAGGCCAAGATTCCCCACTGTGTCTCCAGGAGGAAAGCCAGGCTGTGTAGCTTTAGCACAGGGCTAGAATGCTCCCGAAAGAAAAGGATAGTAGTCTACTTCTGTAAAATTCTGAAAGGGGTTAGCATAAATTGAAATCGACTTGATGTTCTTAGAACTGCAGAGCTGGAAGAGACCCTATGGATCACTAAGTCCAGCCCCTATCAAGGCAGAACAGTGGGCAATCGAACTCCCATCTTCTGGCTCCACAGCCAGATACCCAAACCGCTGAGCTATCAAGCAGTTCTTAATGACTTGTAACTAAATTGTAAGAAGTAAGTCGCCATTACTGGGGACACTATTTGATGTATGAAGGACTCACATGTTTTAATTATTGGCTGCATTTGTAGACACTGATTTTTCAGAATAAATGATGAAGTAAGATGTATTGAGAGGTACATTATCATCAAACATACAACTTACCTCCTGCAGGTGTGAAAACAGTTAAATTTGTCTTTGGCCCCACACCAGCACTTGTCTCAGCAGCAACAAAAACATCGTATGTTGTGAATGGTATTAGATTCCTAAAGGTAAACTTGAGGTCTTTCGTGGTGTTCTCCAAAATATGCCCTAAAATGAACAGGTAAGATTTCAGCGGTGGAGAAAGCACCTAAAGGGATGGTGATGTGACAATATGAGTACAGTGGAACTTCCTTCATTTCCCTACCTCCCTGCAGACCTGAAAGCTACCACAAAAACTGCTTCAGAGGGTTTACCAACCTCCTAGTTTTTCCACCATTCCTTCAATGGAACTCGAGCATTGGATCCTTTCCCTGGGAGAACTAACCATGTTGATCTGGTTACTTTTTGTAATATTGAAAAACAACAGCAAGAAGGAATTAACATTTACCGCTAGTTTATTTCAAATATATACTATTCAGTGAGCATTATTATCACAATGGGTAATAGTTGAAAAGTGAACTACAATACATTGAAAAGCTAACTACAATGTAAATGGGTCTTCATTATGTATTAATTATCTCCTTCAGTTCATATTTCTGACATTCTTCTCATTAACTATGTAGGGCAGGTTTGCACTACAGCTGACCCTTTCATCGTGTTTTTGCCACAGACCTAGCAGATGGTAGAGAACATATAATTTCTCTTTTAAGTATGTAGTAATGAAGTAATCATTATGGACAGATTGCTACCTTCGCTGCATAACATACATGAATGAATCAATGAATCAATGAATCAATGAATCAATGAATCAATGAGTGAGTGAGTGAGTGAGTGAGTGAGTGAGTGAGTGAATGAATGAATGAATGAATGAATGAATGATCAGTGATCCTGCATTACTGTTTCAATAGAAAACAACAACCCTATTTTGTTGCTTTTGCTTGGCCATGCAGGTATTAAGGGCCACATATTTCATCTGTAAACATTAACTAAGAACATCCTGGGACTCTTCAGGTAGAAGTTCTGACTACTCTGGCAATCATTGTATTTGATTTCCAGCCTGTATTAGGGCTGAAGTTGCAGTCAGTGGTCACACAGGGGCTGCAGATAGATGCAGGAGTTCAGTGTTCATACTAAATTCAGTGAGATTCACACTTCAGTCCTAAGCCCCTTTTCTTTCCTTTTTCCTCTCTTCCCATCTCTGCACATTTTATGGTTCACTATCAAGACACTTGGTTTTGAAAGGGTTGTGCAGTGTTCCAGAATATGTGACAACATTCCAAAGTTTTTTTTAGCATGTACTAAAATACCACATATCACAGGGATGTCTTTTATTTCGTCTGTCGTTTGTTTTGTTCGTAATTTTTTAACAAAAAATCATCCAGAAGTGATCTAGCAATAAACTAATATATCAATGCCAGTGATAAAGTAATAAGATATTCTAGTACTAATTTCCTATATGTTTGAAAAAAAGGAGGATGATCGGGGAAAGAACAGATGTAATCATGGTCCTGAATTGTAGGAACTTCTGCTTAAAGGTTGTAGCTGCATTCTGTTCCGGTGACATGCATACACTCCTGGCAGGAAGCGGCAGTTGCCAGCAGGTGGGGTAACCCCTTATTCTGCCCTTTTGCTTAGAAGTAGAACATGTATACCAACCTTCTTTTCCATAATAACCACCTGTCCCAAAGCTTCACCCTCAGGCCTTCGCCGAAAAGATTTATATGTAGTTCGCAAATATATGAAAGAATATGTCCCTCTGCTTAACAAACAAGAAAAGGGGAAATGTGGGAAACTTCTGCTTAAAGGTTGTGGCTGCATTCTGTTCCAGTGACGTGCATACACTCCTGGCAGGAAGTGGCAGCTGCCAGCAGGTGGGGTAATGCCTTATTCTGCCCTTTTGCTTAGAGGTAGAGCGTAAAACCAAAGGATTATTTTAGACAATCCTAGTTGCGATTAGGTAACTAGAATCCTATCTGAATTCTAACAACATATTATGTAAATCATGCTAAGTAAATAAAAGAGCTCTCAGGGCGTTTCCTGTAGGCTCCGCTGGCTCAGACATCTGCTGTCAACTCCTTTGTTCTCTCTCTAAGGCAATTAGCCTTCTTTTGTTCCATGATCACAAGCTAAAGATGGGACACCCTAACTGCCTACGTTATCAAAACACCACCCACAGACATGGCCCCTGTTTTTAAAAGAACAAATTAACTTATCACGTGCAAAAAAAGCTTGTTCAAATTGTTCTGGCTTGAAAAAGTCAAAGTTCCTAATAGCAGAGGAAAAAAGCCGCACTGGGAGCAAAAAGGGCTAGAATGATTTGAATCGGTCTTTGCGTTATGTGATCAGAAAAAAAAATACTTTGAATTAACCCATACTATAACCATGGCAAATCCCACAGTGTTTGACCATATAACCACAGTCTATGATGAGTGTGCCAATAATTGAACTTTATATGTCTGCAGAGCCAAGACAGATGAGATTAGCATAACAGAACAGTTTGGGTCAATTTCTTAAATTGTTCATTCACTACATAAGATATGAAAACATTGAAGTCAAAATCAAACAATCAAAATTAAAAGCATTAGATATGATTCAAACATCCAAAATGGAATTACTAACATTATGTCTAGTAAAATCTACAAGTGTCTCTGTTAACACCAACAAGAATGTGCCAATTTTCCTCACTTTCTAACAACAGAATATACATATCTAAAACATCAGCAACATATTTGCATCTTGCAGACTTTGAACTGTGCTCTGAAGAAATAAAGGGAGGTAGCAGCACATCATTGTTCAAGCAAACAACTTCACATGTATGTTCAGTGACAAGGGACATACTACGACATACTACTAGCATACTTATTTCAATGTTGTTTTTATGTGCCATCATGTCAGCTCCAATCCATGGTGACTCTGACTCTATGAATAAATGACCTCCAAAAGATCCTGTTAATAATAGCCATGCTCACGTTCCACAGACTCAAGGCCAGGGCTTTCTTTATGCATTCCCAGTAAAATGATATACCTATTCTTTTTCATTTTTCATTTTGATTGTTTGATTGATTGTTGTTTTTGCCTACCGCCAAGCAAGCCTAAGGAGCTTCTGAAGGAGAAGAAGCTAAAGATGGAGCTAAAGATTTTTAACAATCTCAGATATTGAAACAGAAAAGTTTACTTTTCTAGTTGGACAATAGAATATTATTATCATACAGCCATAAAAGTTGCTGTTTCCGTGATCGGCCTCATAACGAATGTGTTCATCCAAAGAGAACGTGAATAAAGAAAATTGCTGTACATAGACTTTTGACTTACCAGATGGTCCGTACAGTTCAAGCCTGTAGCTAAATTTCCCAGTAACAATGGTTGGCGGCTCCCAAGAAACTGAGAACAATTTCCCTGTCACATTGCTTTTGACAAAATTTTGAGGTGGATCTTCTGGAACTAAAATCAAGCAAAGACACACTTTTTATGTCCATAAAAATTATTTAAGTTCAACTACAAATATCTTTTCACTCATATGATCACAAATAGTCATACAAACAAGAAAACCACAGGGGCCAGAATCCTGTTGCAGCACCTTTTGAGGATATTCCCTGCCCATATTACTGTATTTTTCCATGTATAAAACTACTTTTTCCTAAAATAATTAAAGGAAAAATTGAGGGTTGTTTTATACTCAGAAGTAAGAAGGGGGGAGGGATCAAAGCGCTTTGATCCCTGCTTTCCCCTTCCATGTTTTGCAAATAAAATGGATGGGGAAAGCGATTCCTACTTTTCTTCTACATTTTTGTTGCAAAAAGCAGCTTTCCCCCTCCATGTTTTGCAAAGAAAATGGATGGGGAAAGCGATTCCTACTTTTTCCCTACATTTTCCTTGCAAAAAGCAGTTTTCCCTCTCCACATTTTGCAAAGAAAATAGAGGGGGAAATCAGAAATCGCTTCTCCCCCTCCACTTTCTTGCAAAGAAAGAAATGTTGGGTTAGAAAAATCTTATACATGCGGCGTCTTATACACAGAAAAATACAGTAATCTGCAATCTCCAGCATGTTGTTGATCTGCATGCTAGGAGGTCATTGTGTTGAAAGCAATAAGATTTACACTAAGCAGAAATGTACTAGATCTCTGTTTGTAGACACAAAAAAAGGTAACAAACCATGGGTTGGTTTTTTTAAAAACCTTATTTTCACTCTGATTGTACACAAATTTGTTTGAAAATAAATCTTCTTGCTATCAATAGAATTTTCTTCAAAGCTCATGAATCTAGGATTGCAGACTTTAAGCATAACATTAGGCATGTTATTTATATTCAGGTACATAAAATGAAGTTATTTTAAAATACACATTATTTGAAACATAAATAGTAACATTATTTGAAGCTTCAAAAAGTGTTAAAATTCAAACTTAGTATATCACTTTCTATAAATAATCTTGACCATGAATTCAAGCTGTCCTGGATACTTGCTTGAACACTTTGTTAGTGATATCCCTACAGTATTGCTATTTCTGCACAGCTGACAAAATGCTTCAGCTGCCTGAAATGTAATAAAGATTAGATCAAACATGACATTACTCAAAGGCAAGGCTGGTCATAAAAAAGAACAAATATTTTTTATTACATTAGCTGTCAAAATGAGAACAGCTGTTAATGAATGGAAGTAAATCTCTTGTCCGTTTAAAAGATGTTCTCTGCTTACCGAAGATTACTTTAACATTTCTTTGTTGACTTGCCAAACTGTAAAAGCACCAGCTACAATCAGAACATTAAATTAAAATGTATTTTTTTTGCAAGAGGTGAGGAAGATTTGGATTGAGAAATTCCTTACTCAATTGATAGTTCCAGTGTTTTAATAGGGCTTCGTTGTGTCTTCCCTTCATTATGGAGCTTCATAGAGACTAACAAGGATAATGGTATGCTGAAACCATCTGTAATAGAACAGTAGAACAACACACTGGGTCCCAGAGCAGCAACAGCTCTAGGAATGCCTCTAGTATGTCATTATAGAGTTCTGCATCCTAAGAGTAACTTTCCAAGTTTTGCAGAATTCATGAAACACCGACTCACTTTCAAGGGAGATGCTCAAAATGTTGTGCCACCAAACTGTGAAGATCTCTATAGAACAGGGGAGTGCAAAGACTGCTTGTATGCTATCCCTAACAGGACAAAGAGCTGCTGGAAGGGACAATTTGAATCAGGAAGACAGCATTGGGGAAAAGAACATCACATTTAGACCATATTTACTACGACATGACTAAACAGTTCAGAGATCTGATTGGATATCTACGACCAAAATCCTGTTACTTCTACAGGTGTAAGGCGATTGGCATAAATCTCAGTAGTGAATAGTGTGAGTCAAGAAGTTAGTGTAGGTATTTGCTGTTGCAGGTTGAGTCAGTCTAAAAACTCAGCATGAGTTTGGTTTGTAAGTACAAAGTCTAGTTTTGTCCTTTAAAACAAGATGTGATGAGAATAGTTGGCTATTGCTTGTAGAACCTTTGCTATGAAAGCAGTAATTTCTTTCTTTCTTTTGCACATAGAATAAGCTTTCATCTAGTCATCTTTTGCAACTTCCTACATTACTGAAGAAAAAGCAAATATCTATACTGAACTGACCAAGATGAACCAATACAAAAATGTTTATATGCAAGGAGGATCTCAACATAGATACATTTGTGTTTGGGTCAAACTTTAATACTTTCTTGATGGTTTCAAAACAATTACTAGACCTAAATGAGTGCTGTGGTGCCACCCATTTGCTAATGTGATCAAACTTTCTTCCCCTCCCATCAGCACAGCTCTCTGTTTGCCCAAACGCCATATGGGGGGTGGTCCTATTCCTTTAGATATTTTATGGGTCCACAGGGGCTGTAAGAGATGCAATCTTCCTCTCCCCTTTTCCACTGGCTAAAGGGGTTCCAACAAACTCTGTTGGATGCTAGTTCGAATATGTTTTTCATATTGATTTGCCTTTGTCAACATTTCTTCCCTGAAAAATACATACCTGATTCTGGTGTCCTGACAATTGCACTATCGATGTAACCTGCTTCTATGGTAGATGCAGAAACTTCAAAAAGGTAAGTAGTATACGGTCTGAGATTAGTCACAACAAAACTGATAGGTTCATTCCAGACAGAGGTCATTTTGCTGGGAGCAATTGTACTCGGGATAAATACAGTAGTTTTACTAGAAGTAGTTGAAGGGGTTGTAGTACTCCACAAAAATGACTCACTGTTATCCTGCAATTAAAAAATAAACTCAAAAAATTAATCTAATACTATCTGAAATACAAGAAGTCCAAAGCCAATGCAAGTGTTAAATATGCATCCAAAACAGAACAGAGGGGGAAACATTTCAGCTAGTATCCTCTTGTAAATTTCCACATGTGGAAATAACATTGCACAAGTGTTTGTGCTCTTTGGTGAGGTATCTCTTATACGATTGGTTTTGCAACTGGTTGCACAGTTGGTTAGTCATGCAACCAACCACACAACAGACAAGTCATGAAATAATTGAACTGCTTGCATGGCCATAATTGCACATGCAGAAATCCCCAACAGAATCCTGGCTTTTTATAAGGAAACCTACATTAAGCAGTAACACGCCAATATAAGGAAAACAGATTTTAAACCCTACCCATCCAGTGACAAAAACAAATAACTTCTTCCTCTTTTGATAACCACCAAAATATTGTTTTCTAACCCAGGATAAAAGTGTGCAGCACGATGTGCTAATTTATGTGTAGACACTTTAAAAATAATATTAATAGACCAAGATATGCCTGAGCCTGGTTTCCATTTCTAATAAAGTATACTTCTAGCACTCTCAGCAGTTCAAAACTAATTAGGGTATAATGTATGCTGGGAAGATCCACCATATTGCCATAAAATATACCAGATGGGCGGGATATAAAGCGAACAAACAAACAAATAAACAAATAAATATTGTTGCCTTCCTCAAACAGGACACAACTGTGGTAGCTGTCACAGATAGTCTTGCTATGGTAAATGCAGCAACAGAAACATAGCCATCAGGCCTCTTTATAGTACTGACCTATCCAAAAGTGAGACACTAGGTAGGTAAGAGCAGTAAATAAGGGTCACCGTGGAATATGCCTTCCCACATGTGTTCTGCCTCTAAAAGTAAAGTTTTGATGCACTTCATTAACATAAAATTTGCTAAGGTAACTAAAAAAAGCATCAGTTGCAAAATTCTAGTCATTCTTGCTATTAAATACACATCCTGCTATGTTTCTCATGGGATGGTCCAAAAGAAAAGAGAACAAGGCTCCTCCTTGTCTAAAAGTTATGCAAAAGGAAAATTTCACCCTGGACAGCTTGGATGACAAACTATATCCAGTGAAATTCCATCTTACACACCTCTTCAAAGTGCAGGAGTTGTGCTGTTTTACACATCTGGCCACTTCAACCTTTAGCCATAACAATACCATGTATTGTACAATGTGGCTATGATCTACTAAGCACACATGTGCCTTGATTTTTCTTTCTTTTGACAACTGCTTCTAAGTATCGCCAAACTATTACTTAAAATAATATGAATTTTAGAGGTAGGTTGTTGTTGATATGACAGCTGTTTATATGCAAACATAATGGCAATTAACATGTATGTCCTGATAGCAACTTATCTTTAAATAGCAATCACAGTGCAATCTCTTCAGGAAACGCTAGTGGTTCCAATGTCAGGGGGCTGGTAAATTTGCATCAGGTTTTAGTCCAAACTTTAAAGGAGAATCCAAAGTTCTAGTGTAGAGGGTAGAATGACACACTAGGACACAGGAGATCTGTGTTGAAACCCCTGCTTGGCCATAGAAACCCACTGTGGAGTGAATGATAGTAAAAGCACTCTTTGAACACCTCACATACCTCAGAAACTCTGCAAAGATCACCATAAGTAGGGTGCAATTTGATAGCACACAGCAAAAAAATTATGAACCTGGGATGGAGTTCAACATCTTGTATAGCTGGCCTGAAGTTCAGACTGAAATCCAGAATGAGTTCATTGCCCCACTGATACTTGAACCACATCCTGTAGATGTTTACTCATAGGTTACGTCCTAATAATATAGAGGATAAAGGATTGTAACCTTCATCTCCAAACCTGGCAATAAATTTAGCAATGTTCAAGGACCAGCTTGGGGGTTCAGTGAGGGCAGTTCCTGAGAGCAAAACATAGCTTTTAGTTATTTATTTCTGCATGCCTGGATGGCATGTATAGCTGCTATATAGTATTTACCTACTCCAGCAACAGTGGACTAGGTAATTCTGCTCTTCAATGATATACAGCCAGAGAAATTTACTGACTAAATAAAAGAAGGGTTTAAATCCTGTTGTTTAATGCAGTGGTTCTTAACATTTGTTACTCAGGTGTTTTTGAACTGCAACTCCCAGAAGCCCCAGCCAGCACAGCTGGTGGTGAAGGCTTCTGGGAGTTGTAGTCCAAAAACACCTGAGTAACCCAAGGTTAAGAACCACTGTACTAAACCATAACTAGAGTAGACCACTGAATCTATGGAATTTACAAAGGAGTAAACTCACTAAATTCCTACTGATACAATAGGCCTACTCTAGCTGCAACCCAGTACACCAAACAATAGCATTTTAGCCACAGTGGCAGCACAATAAATAAATAAATTGTTAGTTGGTTTAACATAAATAAAATAAAAACAGTGTCTAAAAAGCTTCGGCAAATAAAAAGGTCTCCTCCTGGTGGTGAGAGAACAATAAAGCAGGTACTGGGCTAATCTGTCTGGGAAGATATCCCCCAGCTGAGATGCTAAGCACTGAAAAATCTGATTCTGCGATATCTGTGAATCTTATACCAGAGGGAAAGGCTACCTGGAAGAGGCCGTCCATTGAATATCTTAATGCATAGGTAATTACATATTAGTAAATACAGTCCTTCAATATCTGAATAGTTCATGCAAGTTTAGTGTAAATAATGCCACACTGAATCAAATCCTAAACCAAATAGCCCTTTCAGATTTGTATTTGTTTATTTTTACACAAAATACATCTTTAAAAGCTATAAAGATCTGAGCAATGTAGTTTAATCACATTTTCTGTCCAGCTCTACTTACATTACATTCTGGCAACCTTCCAGACAGGAGATCCTCCACTTTAACAGTGACATCTTTCACTACTATCCCACTTCTTGCATGCTTCACACTAATTTTGAAACTGGTGATTTTTCCATTTGGTTGCTGAGGCAGAAACCAAATCAGATTTACAGCTGAATAATTGAAAGCTTCAACGGTGAGATTCACCACCTTACCAGGAGCTTTAAAAATCAAATCAAAAACAAACGTTAGAAAGTAAAATTTCCATTGCCACACTTTGATATAAAGGTAATCTATATAGAAAGTGACCCACAAATAGAGGTCAAGTAATCTTCGTTTTTAAAAGTCTAAATGTAATCTGCAGACAATCTGTTCTGCTGCATTTCTTGGTAGGAACTACAACCTACTTCTCCTGAAATGCCGTCATCCTACACATCTGTAAAGGATTCAGCAGCTTCATTCTGTATTGCATCTAGCCACCTTATGTAAATCCAAATATAACTGCTGCCAAAAATGCACAGGCACTTGGGAATTTGATTCCTCACTGTGCCTCACTGACAGGGACTGGACTTGATGTTCTAAGATGATGATACATTGCAGTTCTTCACGTGTGCAATATTATCTGTTAATGGACGAAAACCTATTAGGCTTTACACTTATGGAAGCAAAAATAAGGAAGTCACTGAAACTAACTTGAGTAAATTAAAACAATATGGGTCACGTTCCTTATTGTGCACTGATGAGCCAGGCCCAGGATAAGGCCAGACACTAGTACCTTGTTAGTTCATTGACTATACTTGTATGTTTTCACTTACACGGACATTGAAAAACAACAGGATTTTGGCCCATATTAGGTAAGCACTTATGTTTCTTAATATTAAGTTATTGTTCAAGACTTGCCTTTTCAGGTCAGCTTTCCATGCAGTGTGGCCCAGCTACCTACATTTAATTTATTCATGATGTGACTTTAAATAATTTGTTTGTACTACATCAGTGGTTTACCTTGTTCATATTTGTAGCAATTTATGATTAAGTTGTACAGGAATGAAAAAAAATAAATAATGGACAGAATCCTATGAGCAAATTACATGTGTGCAAGTGGAATTGTGTATGTTGGTGTGGAAAATTGCTAATTTGCCACAAGCAGCCTTAGAGAGGAAGGCTGCTTGTGTTTCTGAACATGCAATAAAACTTGGAGTTTTTTAAAAAAAATAAGTAATTGCCTCTATATATACCAGAGGTGGGTAATATACAGCATATCCAATAGCTTCCTGATTGCTTTCCTGTGTCCTCCAACAGCACCTCTAAAAATGTTCTGTGCCATTCAGTTTCAGCATATGGGAGATCATGTTTCCACATTAAATGAAGGAGCCATAGGAGCAGGCACATTGTTTTAGCCAGGAATCTTGCATTTCCTAAATGTTTTTGGAAGTGTGATTCTCCTCTTAAAAAAAAAAGGCAACCACTCCTAAATCCTTTGTTTTCACAAGGGGAAGACAGGGATGAAAATAAATACTAGAGAGGCTGTGATTACAGATGAAAGACTTTAGTGTTCAAGAAATCAGACCTGAAAAGAATGCATGTTAAAGTCATGAAGGCTAATTCCACAAAGCAAGCCAATTTGCAAACTACAGGAAATCCCTGCCATGCACTCAGGTGCTTTCCGTAGATATGGAACTCTCTCTGCTAATCACATCTCAGCATCCGTTTCTGCCCTAGAAGCATGTTTTTCCCATTCCTGAATGACTCCATGACCCCTGAAGGGAAGCATGGCCGATGGCAGGATCCAAGAGTATGAATATAAAATTGGTCCTCATAATCACTGAGCTTGCCAACATCTGATATATACTGTTAGTGTCAGCATCAAGATGTAATTAGCCAGCAAGCAAAAGTAACCAAAAGGGAACATGTGGCCCATTGCATTTCTACAAGCATTGTTCTTGCACAACAGTTAAATGAAGCACCAGTGTTCTAGCCAGTCATCCCCACCACATGTATCAGGAACATCCTCAACACAGAAGCTTTTACCTTACTGAGAGTCACAGCACAGATATCCTAAGCTAGCATTTCAGCCATTGAGAAAGATGTGTGAGAGTCACAACACAGATATCCTAGTTAGCTAGCATTTCAGCCATTGAGAAAGATGTTCATTCTAATGCCTAGCCCAGCTTTCCTTGCTCATCCACTTTCCTTTCATTGTTCATCCACTTTTTCTTAAGGAGGGTTCTTGCAATGTATAATTGCAACATCTGTCAGGTCAGTCCTCATCTTGCCCACAGAACAACCCATGCTAAGACATAGATAGCGAAGTCAGTAGCTCAAAAATGTAAAAAAAAAAATCCCAACAAGCTTAAATTTAAAAAAAGAAACAAACAAACCAGAATCGTTGCGTAAGAACTTATCTAGAACCTGGCATTAGTGTCAGTAAATTCCAAAAATCTAAAACAGAAGGAGGATGTCTCAGTAGTCATCACCCCTGTTCTTGCTGTCTTATCGCCCATACAGCTAAGTTGAATTATGATGTTTGAAGCAAACTCTGATTAAAAACAATTGTAAATCAAGTTACCACTTTCTGCAGTTTGAAAAAGAAATGGGTCACTAAATATTCCAATGCCGGCACTGTTTACAGCAGCAACCTAGAGGGGGGAAAACAACCAACACTATTACAAGGTGAAATTGAGATATTCATGCAATATCTAAGTTAGCAAGCTTAAAACATCAGTTAAAATCCGCATAGCTTAACTTCCAAGCAGGAGAAACAATAGTGGTGCATCATGAGATAATCAGGAGATTTTTATTCCTTCTCTCCCTTCCATTGGCCAGATACATTGTGCAACCTTGTCCCATTGAAAAAACAACCAAAACAAGTGACATTTATTTATTTATTTAATGTATATCCCGCCCATTTAGACGTCTACTCTGTAAATATAGTGTGAACTCTATCTTCCATAGTCCAATACGTTTTTGTACATCAGCACATAAGAATAGAGAGCAATGGAGAAGGAAGACTGGATATCACTGCTGTTTCTACCAACATTACTTGAACAATAAGAAAAAGAGTAAGAGGAATATGTTTTTAAACAGAGGTTAGCAGGAAGGAAGTACTTGAGCAGGCATTACGCCTTCTATTTTAATTTTGAGCCAGAAAATAATTTTACACTTGAAAATCTGCCTTACTTTTGAAGAGGGACTCTCTCTTTTTCTCTTATTTGTTTATTTTTCCTGAACCAAAACTGGGATAACTTTCCTAGTACTGTATGCCTTTAATAAATCTGTTTCTGAAACACTTAAACAGATGGTCATTTCACTGGTGCAATGGCTATACAGAAAGCTTAGTAGAAAAGAACTCTTAAAAAGACTTATCTATTATATTTTTTTAAAAAAAACTACTATATACTAACCTTAAGCTGACTTCTGGTTTTCAATTTGGTTCAACTTGTCCCAAAAAGTGAATAGCAGAAACAAAAAATACCCAAAGCAACAAGAATAAGATCAGGAACAGGATAGAGATCCATATGAACAGAGAAAATAATTATTAGGATGGCTTAGTTTATTGACTACTTTTCATAAGAGGCCAATATACATCTACAGTGCTCTCTTTTTGTATCTGTTTTATATGTATGGTTTTAGTTTCTTTTTTACTTCTATGAGGTAAAAAAGGGGAACAATAAATTGTACTCACACTTGGATGCAGTTTTTTTTTAGTATAGTGTAGTAAGACTGTGAAGTACAATTAAACAAAAAACTCTATTCGGCCAATAAAATGTAGCCTGATGACCAACCATGATCTTGCTAAAAAAGCAACTGCTTTCATGTGCGAAACCAGATGTGTGGGGTGACTGTACAGTAAACTGTACAGTAAAACTCACCTAATATTTCTGTGCAAACCTCAGTAAGTTTACAAGTGACTGGCTCCATGAAAACGGCCCCTGAGCAATGAGAGTATAAATGGCCACTATGTGGCACTGTGGCATCTGTATTTGCCCAAACTTTTCAAGAGCATGTGGGAAAGATCATAGTGGCTGATCTTTCAGTTGCTCTGCAAGAGTTGTGGCAAAACCCACATGTCAACGAAGTTTTTATCTAAGATGATTTATAGTACATTGGGGTGGAACCAGTATATTTTTATCACAATTAGACAGAAGTCTTGGACTCATCAAAACCAAATCTGCTACTATACATTCTGCAAAGTGGGTTCCAGAAACATGGTTGCATCCATGATGCTACACTTGGCCTGGCTAAACAAGCTTATGCTGTGAGAAAGACAGCTCCAGGTTACTGTGCTTCTGTGTGCATATTTTGCCTAGTGCAGAGTGTATGCTTATATGCCATATTGGAATTGTTGATTCAGCATATATAAATGATTTCTTTATTGTGACATGTGAACAACTACTAAAATCAAATGGGGAAATCTTGAGTGATACATACCAAGGCAACTGAGCTTCTATGCTACAATGTCAATAACTCTAAATGATGCAATAATAAATACACAGTGTGCCCTGAAATGGTGAAGACTAAGATACCTACATATTTCTAATGGCTAAGATACCATAACCATTAGAGATATACAGTATTTGTAATGAGTGAAGATAGCAAGTATTCTCAGTTGAGTGACAAAAATATACTGAAGCCCCAGTCTCCAAGGTTGATAAATTTTAGTTAATGGTGAAGTATAAGGATCTTCAAAGTCATATATTGTTAGATGATGGTGACAGACCACAAAATGATATGCAATCACATGTTGGTTTGCTCCACAAAGAAAAATAGTTTCTGCAGTTTATTTTCTTCTGTTAATAGGATAGGCAAGACTAAACAGTTGAAAACTATTATCAGAACATAGTTAGAACTCATCTGATGAAAGGAAGGAAGGAAGGAAGGAAGGAAGGAAGGAAGGAAGGTTGCATTCACTCTTAAAATACTAAAGGGAGCCAATTATATTTGGAAATAGAATGCATCTTATCAGTTTACTACTATGGCTTGGAACAAAACCCATTCTTATACCCCATACTCCACTGATGCCACTAATTTTGCTATAAAGTTTTAAATGAAAATGTGATGAAAATAGTAATTGCTTTCATTTCTAAAAATTAAACTTGATCACCTGAAACCTGACTTGCATCAATGATGCATGGATGATGCACCATACATAGCCAGGCTTTGTACTTAGAACTTATGGAGTTCATACCTATTACTTTCTTATTTGACCATAAATAATAAATAACCAGAGACAAAGTAGTGAGCGGTAAAAATAAATATCTTTGTTGGTTATTTCTTTCGTGCTGTTCAGAAATTCAGTGCCTTGGTCAAAGAATGGATGACTATAACATGGTTTCACATTCTGACATTTTACTTAATGAGCACTAAATTTTAATCTATACTTAACAAGTAGTTAGAAAGCAAGCTTGAGAATTTACCTGAATTTCATAAGTTGTTCCAGGGTTGAGATTGGTGAGAAGAACTTCCAAGCTATCAGGCTTCGTTGTAACTTGAGTGTAAGTATTTTGCATCCAAGGGCAGACCTCCTTATATTTAACAATGTAGGACAAAATCCTCCCATTTGGATGTGGTGGTGTGTTCCAAGACAAGAGAATTCCTGCAGATCCCACTCGTTCACCCGCAAGGAAAACAGGAGGTCCTGGATCTGCAGAAAAGACGTGCTTTATTTGAGCTATATCTGAATACTTCTGCAGTTAGTGCATAATAACAAAAGAATTTTCCAGGAAAGACTTATCTGAATTTTTAATCATCGGTTAATCATCAATGCAGCTAATATGAAGTTGGCCTTCTTTAGAACACTTATGAAAGATGATTAAATGACTTTTGGAAGACCAAGTACATTCTTTCCATAAGAATTTTAAAAAAAATGGAATGCTGAAATAATCACATAATAGATCCTGATGCCAGTTTGGTTTCGAAAACACATTATTAAAGCTTCCTCTAGCATCAAACTTTTGTAACTGAAGCTCTGCAAAATCTGTGGAATTGAGTTTCTCCAATGAATCTTTGATTGCTCACGTTTTGCCAAATTTGTTCTAGCAATGTTATTGTTTCTAAATGTTCTTTCTTTCTCAAAGTTCCATCCATTCCAAACCCCAGACCAATTAACTTAAAAATGCAATCTCCAACAATTCAATAAAAAATAGACTAACAGAATACAGTAGTAAGTAATAATATACCATATTCTGCAAGGGAAGTGAAACATTGTCATAAACTCACTGGTTACATTAGTTGTCACTGTTTTGCTGACAGGTGAGCTGTACACGGAAGAGGTAACTGCAGAAACAGTCACATTGTATGTTGTCCCAGGAGTGGTGCTTGAAATGTCAGCCTAGAATATTCAATTACCCAAGTTAAAACTTACAGTTTAAACAAAAACATTAAACAAATGCCACTCTTATTACTAAGGTACAAGGTATACATCACAATTCAAAATCTATTTTAAAATTATTCTGACTGAATTGCCTACGGCCGTACCACCATGAAGACGCCTATGAAGACACCTAATTTTGTCTAATCTAATTGAATTATCACAGTATGCAAATTTCCTATTGAACATGTGAAAAGGCAACATTCAAAAGCATCAAGATCCACCAGTTAATAGACTGCTTCACTAGCTCTATTCATTTACTCTTTTAGGGTTGTGCTGAGTTCCCATTCTAGTACTTCACAGTCAAACACACTATTCTGTTCATCTTTTCTGAAAAACATGTATAGCTATCATAATGTGGAATAAAATCTATAACAGTCAACAGCAAGAATTTGTAAGAAGTACCTGTGCCTTTGTAGCTCCAGTAAAAAAAAGAAGCAAAATAAAATGAAAAACCATGGTAATTATTTTGTGGTTTTTTTTGTTTTTTGTTTTCAAATAGTGGAATCAAACAGTGCTCCTATAACTTTGTGATGGCTTAAGAGTGAAGTGTTGCCTGCATTAATGATTTAAGTCTAGATCCTCCTGGCAAACACACAATTAATGAGACTGTATTACTCAATAGCTCTGCCCTGCCTTTGTTAAACTATTCATGAACCCTTAAATGACTGGCTGGAGGTCTGTGATAGACTTAGAAGAAGTATCATCATTGTTGTTAAGGCAACAAAACCATAGATGTTGAAATTTGCTCTCACAAATTTGGCATGTGTATTTTTTGCATTCTTGTCTAGGTTTAAAAGCTTAAAGAAAGAACATCATGCTTGGCCAATTTTCCTATCAGCACAGGACATAAACAATTGCTGACTATTCATGCTTCATGAAACAAAAGCCCCCACATACCTGATACTCTCCACTTCCCACATCTTGGAGAGAAACAAAGCCATGGGAAGGTACAAGGTGCACATAAAACTTTTCTACATATCCAGGAGGTAGTCTCCAGCGCAGAGAAAAGGAATGTGATGATACGTTGAAGACTTTCAGTTTCTGCACTTTTTCAGGTTCTTAAAGAAATTGTATTTATATGTTATTTTTCCCCCCTGTGGTATTCACTATTTTACATTACCCAGCCCTCACTGAAAACAAAACAAACCAGAAACAATTACTTGAGACAAAAAACATAGCTTCTGGGTGTGTACCTTCAAATGCATTATCAGTT